ACATCTCAAGTATCTCTCTACATCACTGCAAGATATTTAAAACATTTTTTTTTGCTCATTCTGCTTTGCCTATTTTGGTCTTAATCTCAACCCACATTGGACGCTATCATGTCTTAAACCAGGTTGATCCTGAAATAAAGTAGTGCTGACTGTGGCGCTCCTCCTTTTTTTAAATGCATCTTTCTGTTTATCTCAGCACAAACTAGAAAATATACCGTACACAAGTGTGCAGTATTAACTGTGTAGTGTCCCAAGGGTGAGGGATTTCTGTCTATACTATTTGTGCTGTGTGTGATGGAACAACCGCAACTTCAGTGTGTTATCAGATAATTAGATTGTTTTCGTATTTGCGTGTTTTCAGTCAGTGCCTTATTAGTATGGACTGAAGTAGCTGTCTGAGCATCTGTCCATCTGGTTTAGGATAAGTGTAGCTGACTGTAATACAGCCCATTAATTTACTAAGGGAATGAGGGATTTACATACTGATCTAACATTCACACCTGGAAAGGGCATTGATGCCACTGCTTTTGTGTGTTTGTTTTTGAATTATGTTAGCTACACTCTCATGCCCAGAGTTAGATGCCTCCACTGTGTCTGTCTGATTCCACTCCTCTGTGACAATGCTTGATGTGTGGTGATCAGACAGCAGAGCTCAGAATCAGACACGTACATACGGTTAAAAACCAACTCAGTTTCCTTTCTTCCAGGAAAACATGCGGGGGGCTGAAGGTCATGTTTCTCTGTACTGTAAGAGGAGCAGTAATGTAACAGTGAAAATAACCAAAATAAATAGTATAATATACAATGTTCCTGCACTGCAGGTAACAAGCTAACCTCTCCCAAATGAATATTCATTAGACTCGTAGCTCTGGGCTAATGTTGCACAGATGTGTGCTGTATGACCTTGAAGGGACAAGGATCTACTGGTCCATTAGCAAATGTTAACCACAACCATTCACTTGCCCCATCTGAAGCATAACTGTGCCATTTGGTGTGCATCACATCCAACACTGTATATCCCTATTGTGTTTTTTGGCATGACTACAAAATGAAAGCGGCTAAGACAGAGACAATTGCCAAGAAACTGTGACAAATCCAAGACGCTGCAAACTGATTGCCAGCAATGAGCATGAACCCCACCTGCATGTGCATGTGGAGTTGTGTGTTTTTTTTTGGGGGTGTATTTGAGGCAGAGGGGTTTTAGAGGAGGTTGGGCTCATGTATGATCAGTTACACCCGATGATTGAAATAATTGACGTGTCACCTATCGTGTCAAACCCAAGCTGTCCATCATGACGTTACACCTGATGCATGTCATCGTTTCTTTGTGTTGATGATGAAGGGATGCAGTCAAACACCTGATGCCTGCCTCCTCTCCAGTTTGAGGGCCTGTCAGTCACATCTGTCGTCACTATTAATGAGTGCAGTTGTGTCTTTCTGTATACCTGTCCAATTTATTCACTGTGCCCCTGTGTGTGTGTGTGTGTGTGTGTGTGTGTGTGTGTGTGTGTGTGTGTGTGTGTGTGTGTGTGTGTGTGTGTGTGTGTGTGTGTCCATTTAACACATGCTTTGTGAGCATACCACAGTGCATGTGCATATATAGAGGTGTGCCATGCTAATGGAAAATGTAATAGCGCCAGACAGGGATTAGCTGATATGACCCTAAGCAGTGGAACTAGCAACCGGTAGCTAATGTGACTCAAGAAAAAGGTAGCAGGCCAGAAGGGAAGTACTATTGTGGCCCAGCAGTACATACATTATTCATCAGCTCCACTCGCATGGCTGGTGAAAATGATTTTATCAAATCTGGCAAGGTGGGTGTTGGTCGGGTGGGGGAAATGGGCATCCTGACTGTGTATATGTGCATATCTTTTTTTTTTGACCCCAATACAGTATGTTCATGAATTTCAATACAATATGTTTAGCAACAGAAATGGCAAGAGGCATGAAATGGGAAACCAATCTGTGTCTCATCCCTTCTGCTTTTTTTTTACTGATATTGCTACCCTCCCCACCCACCCACACATGCACACACTGCGATAACATCTGATAAGGATTGAAAGGTGCAGTCTATTGTGCTGAAAGGCCAGCTCAGGTGTGCAGGAAGACAGGGGAACAAAACCGGCTACACTTACAGTGCTGCTACCAAAAAGTCTGTTTATTCAACAGAAAACTGCGACTGGTGAATAGGCTTTGATATTCATTTACTCCTCGCTGTCCCAACCGCCGACTGCACAGCTGACAACAAACAATGAGCGTGTTCACACTACAAAAGCAACACGCCAAAGGATGAGTGCAGATAGAGCAAAACAAGCAAACAAAAAGAGACCCCCGACATCTCCAGCCCTCATCTCTGCTTACATAACATCCTCCACCTGCTGTTGTTTTTATTACCTCTTCTGTATCCCGCTTGTGCCAACACGACATTGCAGTCATTGCTCTGGGTTGTCTTTAAACTACTAACCAATTCCTCCCCACTCCTTGGATAATTGCATTACAGCCCAATAACGCTGTGTTTGGGTAGGAGTGTGGGAACGGGTTGTCTAAGTCGCTGTTCATCCTCCTGGATTGGTTATTTCCTGTTTCAGCCGGCTCCCAGCAGGACACGACCTTTTCCAGCTATACTGTTAGATAACAGAGAGAAACAACAGTGAGACAGAAAGGAAGGAGACGGGCTGGGAAGAGAATGAGGTCTGATGAGACGACAGGTGTACGACAGACAGCATACGTGCATGTACATACAAACATGCTTTACACAAAAGAATTCAAAAAGGCAAGAATAATTGCAGCAGTGTTGTCTAAGTAAGGTGCTGAAATGTCATCATGTGCCCGGAGGTAAAAAGCTATGTGTGTGTGTGTGTGTGTGCTGTCAGCGTGCACATTTGTTAGCGACTTTGTGTTTGTGAGTGTCTCCCCTCTCTCCCCCGTGGAGACTGTGTCAGGTCCTTTTGTTGGGTAGATCTGTTACCTTCACTGCCCTTTGTCCCGACATGTTTGCCTCTATAAATGTTAAATACTCCCAAACACTAGTTATTTCTGTGGCTTCACAGTACAGCAGGCAGAGACAATGAGGATCATCAGCCTGCTACGTAATCGTCCCTGTCTCTCTCATAAATTCCCATGTCCTCAAGCCAAACATTTTGGTAGATGATTTGATGACCCTGAGAAATCTGAGAAAGCTATCTAGTTATCAAGTTATTTATTATTCAGGTGAATTTTACCTAATTATTATTATTATTTATTTATTTTTTTACAGATTTTCATATTTTGAGATGGAAACAGTTAAATATATTTATATATATCTCAATATCTCGCCACTGGACCTCCTCACCTGGCACATCAACAAGTCTCTTTTGAAAAAAACTAAATGCCTGAAGGAGGTTTCTTTATTTCTTGGATCATAAAGGTCTCTGGAGTGCTGAAGCCATTTTTTGGCTGAGTGAGGTCCAGCTGACAGTTTCTCCACACCTTGTTTTTTTAACAGCTTTTAACAGAGTTAAGGTTGTATGAGATTAAATGTGCAGAAGCTGTGCAGTATTGTTTCAAAAATGTATACACTCCCTTGTGTGAACATTTTACAAGTGAAATACATGGAGTAAATTTTATTATATAATATGTATTGTGATGTGCCGAGCTCCCACCAACTGACAAAAGAAAAAAAACATGGTGAGAGTCCAAACTCTCAGAGGTTAAATCCTGGGACTGTAGCCATTGAATTTCTGCCAAACACAACACATAAATATATTGTTTAACACATCAGACTATTGGACAATATGTCTTGTTACAAAGACACTTCCAAATCGTGTGTAACTTGATACTGTTTGCGTTTACCTTTGTCACGTGCACTTAAGTTTTCTTCTGATGGTCGCAAAAGACAAACAGCTAACCACGCTAGCGGCAAATATGAAGCTGTGAATTTGACTTTGAGATATTTTTAGCGCATGTTGGCAAGAACACGAACGATCATACTGAACCTGGAATGGACAGTGGAGTAGTCAGTTATGCTGCAAGAGAGGTTTGAGTAGTTTCTATGGATATCTTGATATTTTAAGATATAAAACTGGGTCGCTGTAGGAGTCCATTGTAACTGTAGTGAATCCAAGCTGGCTACAACTGCAGTGATGCCAGTGATGGAGCAGGCTACGAACTTCTCAGATCCTCTTTTCAAGCCTACAGGTGGTGATATCATGACAGGCAAGAATGTGGGAGACAATAGTAAAAACAGCAAAGGCTTCCACTTGTGGGTGCATTCCTTTCATTTGAGGCTTCTGTTACTAAAAGCCTGGTGGGTTATAAAACAGTAAAGCAAGGATGAGTGGAAAAAACAAAAAAAAAGCATGAGATACAGCAGCTCTCGTGGAAGATTGATAAGAAAGTGATGGATTCTTCTTGTACTCATCTGTGCATGTTTGTCTGCTCTCTACTGAAGCCACAGTCTCTGTTCTTTCTTGTGTATTAAATCTTACAAGTTACACGTTTTAAGATGACATTTCCTACCCACTTAGTTTTCACCATGTTGGTTTGTATTATCTATGATCTTTTAAAAAAAAAAAAAAACTAATTTACTTTATCACTCTATGTTTTAATTGTATGCGAGTGGGCTTGTGTCTTTTCATGTATCCTTATATGTTTGTGCATGACTGTGCTTGTCCACTTTATCTGTGTGTCTTTGTGTTTGTGTAGAACTTTTGAGGCCAGAGAGCCAGCAATTAAAAAGAGGACTGGGACATCTAAAGGCTTAGAGGCACAGACCCAGCACACATGCTGGCAGTCAATTGGCAAGCCGGGGGAGGTGAAATTGGAGAGAGAGAGAGAGAGAGAGAGAGAGAGGGAGCGAGAGAAAAGAGAGAGGGAACGGAGAGAAGGAGGAGGGCAGGGTGAGTGCATGTGGGAGAGTACGGGAGAGCCAGAGAAAAGAGGGCGGGCTCAGACTCAGGCAGCGCTCACACACCCTCCTGTCCTCAGCCTTCTCAGTCTGTTCTAGGCGTGCAAGAGGCAGCATGTGTGAGTATGTGCTGTAATGTGTGTGTATGTGTGTGTGTGTGTGTTTAGAGTCAAACGCTGCGCTGGAGTGCAGGAGACGTCTTACCGGTGCAAGGATTTCCCTGTTTGCTCTCAGAACGGACACGTGCTGACAGTGTTTTAACCACCACAGGGAATTAACGGTTACACACACACACAGGTGTGGAGCACAAGTAAAGGTAAAGAGACACATTTCTTGTTTTGAGGTTGTTTTGGGAGCTTTGTGATGGACAGGGACAGATAGAGTTGTTTGGGTGTTTAAGGTAACTGGCTTCATGTTGTGTGTTTAGATGATTTGTGAACTGTTTATATGAATTTTAATGTTTGTGTGAGATATAGAAAAGGAGATGAAGTCACAGTAAGGAGTTTAAATTTGAGAATCTGACAAGATTTTTGTCGTATATGTTCTGTATCTGTGTGTGTGTGTGTGTGTGTGTGTCTTCCAACGTACTCCAACGTATGCTTTCTTACACAACGTGCCTCTGTGTGTGAGTGTGGCTCCTCTCCTTTGCTAGTACAGTATACTACTGTTTGGTGTTTGGGTCTCCCCTCGCTCCCTCTCTCTCTCTCTCTTACACACACACACACACACACACACACACACACACACACACACACACACATACAGCCATATGAATTTATATAAATACATGAGAACTGCAGCAAAAAAAAAAAAAGGCTCGCACACATAGCCATCCTTCATGGAGCAGTGTGTGTGTGTGTTCGTGTGTGTGTGTGTTCATGAAAGTTTATCAATCATTAATGCTCTCACTGGGACCCTGCCTAGTTTGCTACTTCAAGTAATTTGGTGATAACAAAATACCTTAACAGCCCTCTGGACTGGCAGCACCTGACCCCCCCCACCATTGAACAAACTGCGTAGCTCAAAGGGCAAACACAGTGATGCGTACTGTAGTAGGTACTGTACTGTGGCAGCGTGTATATTTGATTGTGAGCTTTTACGTAACAAATACTGGGCAGATGAAATGACTTGAGATAAAGTGAGATTACACTCCAGATCAGAAACTCGAGTGGTGCTTATAGTAATTAGTTTTCAAAAGCTTGTTAGAAAAAAAAAAAAAAAAAGATCCAAGTCGGTCCTCAAAATATCTGGTTATGCCATCAAAGGCGCACAATGCTAAATGAAGAAAGAGGGATCACACACTAACGGATTTGGAGCTGATGAAGACATTAACGCATTGGTGTGTGTGTGTGTGTGTATGTTTGTGTGTGTGTGTGTGTGTGTGTATGTATGTGTGAGCTGTGTCGTGTGGAAATGTTAACAGAGGAGAAGCGAAACGGCTAAAGAACAGATAGAGGAGGACTGCACAGACAAAGAGAGAGACCTTAGAGCTACTGAAAGTCTTGAGAGACCAGCAGTTAAAGGCAGTGTGGTACTGAAGACCTGGCAGAGTGACAGTAGCCATTAAGACACAGGAAGATCGAGGGGATACAAAAACAAAGGAGGAGAGTCTGTGAGTGTTCACTTTTACCTCCCTCTGAACACTTCATATGTATTTAGCATCCGTCACTCAAATGCGTGTGTGTGTGTGTGTGTGTGTGTGTGTGTGTGTGTGTGTGTGTGTGTGTGTGTGTGTGTGTGTGTGTGTGTGTGTGTGTGTGTGTGTGTGTGTGTGTGCGCACATAATTGCATTAGTGGAGGTGTTGGGTCTCAGCTGTGCAGAGGGTCATCTTCAGGCATCCAGACAGCCGAAGAATTACGAGAGGTCAAAGGGCACAAAGGCTCTGCTGTCCTCTCTCCTCCCTCACTTTTGCGCCTACTCTCTAGAGAGGAAAAAAAAACCAAACAAACAAACAGATGTCTTGGGCATTTGGTTTGCTCCATTAAGAAAAGTCAGTCCAAGTAACATGTCAAATATCCACAATACATCAAGTCAATACTAATAGTGATTTAGTCATAACACAGTGACAAGAGTAAGTAGTCATTTACAAAACCCTGATGAGACAGTAATAAATCTTAACACATTTTTGAGTCCATGACTGTAAAACACAACCAAGCCTGAGAATGATGCTCAATCTATTATCCAGCCTCATTATTAGTGTTTGTTTTGTTTTGAGAAGAAAACAAATTTAAACTAGTTCTCTCTCTCTCTCTCTCTCTCTCTCTCTCTCTCTCTCTCTCTCTCTCTCTCTCTCTTATCTTTCCTTCATGTTATCTTTCTTGCCACAATTCACTGCTTCAGTTGCCGCCATGAGGAAGTTGAATATTGGCAGGGTGTTTTGAGGAAGTGATCCGTGAAAGGATTTATAGTGACAGATAAAAACTGGTGTGTGTGTGTGTGTGTGCGTGCGTGCGTGCGTGTGTTCTTTTTTTTTCTTCAAAATTGACAAAGACTTTGTGAAAGCTCGGGGCTATGAAAAAGCCATTATCTCAGATACTGTTACACACTGCTCATTCAGGTTTATGCTTGTGTGTGTCCATTTACTACGCAAGTGTGTCTTGTGTGTGTGTTTAGGACAAATATGAGTGTGTGTGCATCCACGCAACCATGTGCTCCGTCTGTGTACAGTAAGCTAATATAGTGTGTGAGCGTGAAGCGGGGGATGGGGCTCCGTTAAGTGAGCCTTGTGGGCGTGTGTGTGTGTGTGTGTGTGTATGTGTGTGTATATGTTTGTATTGTGTGTGAGAATGTGTATGTACTGACCCACATTGATACCATGCTAAGTCAGCCCACCTATAGGGCAGATGTAGGTAGACATATCCTCTTCCTCTCCAGCAGCCACAATCAAGCACTTGTTTTTGTCTCTGAGGAGGACGTTGCATTCACTTTCATTCTGAAACCATAACTACTGCATGAGTACTGTAATTCAAACCCTTACCTTAACCCTGAAGTGCGATGGTTTACATTGTAGGGACCAGATTTCTGAAAGGCAGATGATAGATGAATCACACACTCATATTCTGCACCCTTCATATAATCTATACTATAAATACAAATATCTAAATCATACTTATCCTTTGATCTGTTAATGTGAAGCTCATATAGCGTTTCGTGCATTAAATAATACATTTCATAAATGGAAATAATAATCATCATCATCATCATCATTAACAACATGGAACTCAAGCTTACTACAAATACTCTCACATCTTTATCCTCCTCAGTGAATAAGACTCTTCTGACCTTGTGGCAGGTCAGAGGAACAGCCTCTCTTTATGATTACAGACGCAGCACATAAGATGCAGTTTGAAGAGCATGTGGCGGGCATGATAAAGGGATGATGCAATTAACATGAAAGGGATGATCTCTCTCTCTCTCTCTCTCATCTTTGTGTCTCAATTTCTTCTAACCGTTGCTTTGCTAACACTTCATCCTCTCTTCCTCAGTGGTCTACTTATTTCTGCTGTTGAGCAAATATGGGGCTTATGCAGCCCCCAGTGCCCATCTCCCCACATGCAATCAAGCTGTTTAAATGTTTGTGTTTGACTGTGCGCCTGTGGGGTTCTCTGTGAGTCCGTCCTCTCTCTGTGAGTGTGTGCGTGTGTGTTCCTGTCGCTCACGCTCCCGGTTCTCTCGCTGCTGTCACTTGCAGACCAGCACCAGACGGATATTGTTAAATGTCTGTTTTGGGAAAACTAAGGCAAAACTGACAGCTGAGGGTGGAGGGTATTGCATGCAATAGTAGGGGGAATCCCTTTGCAGTATTCATGATAGAATAAGTCAATGGTGCCATGAAAACTAATCACATAAAACGTTGGAAAAACTCTTCGGCTGACATGCTACAGGGGAAGATGGGTCACAAGAAAACCTTAATCAAGTTTTCATTCAAATGTAGCTCAATTCTCCAGTCAGGTACCATTAAACAATTGCAAACAAGGCGCAATTAGATGACATTGAGAAGCATTCAAACCTCAGATAAAAATGTGAAGGAAATTTATGTTTTAGGTATTAATTTGAGCAACTATTTTAGTGTATAGTGTGTTTGTGTGTCTCTGTTCCATGGCCTTGGCTTTTACCATGTGCATGACAAGAGAGGCAGAATGAGTCAGTGTGAACATTATGTCACACCGACGTGTTTACCGTCCGTTTGTAATGTCGCTCATCTGGTCGAATAGGACAACAAGAGTTGTTAGCTGGGGGAGTGCGTAACATCAGGTGGAGAACGTTTTGCTTTGTGCCAGATTCCTTAACATCAGCCTCCTGCTGAGAAGAAGAAGAAGAAGAAGATGATGATGATGATGATGCAAAAGGAGTGGGAGAAGCAGAAGGGGATGCCTCTAATTGAGAAGTGGTCCAGACGGGGGAGGGGTGTCTCAGAGCTGACGTGAGCTGGCATGTGCCCTCATTCATTTCCTCCCTTTTGTCTCCTCTGCGTCTGATGATGAATTGGGAGTTTCTTCCTTTCCTTCCTTCCTTCCTTCCTTCGCTCCCTCCCTCTTTCTCTCTTGCTATCTGTTTCTCTCTTTCTGTCTCTTGCTCCATCATCCCTCCTTCCTTCCCCTCTTGGTGTGACAGCATTGCCATCCCTGTCATGTCTGCCCATTATCTCTGATCAGTGTTGCGTTCCAGCCCCCACATCGGTCTGTGTGTTTGTGTGTACATGCATCTACATCTTATTTGATATGGTTAGATCCTCAGATGTTTCCAGGCTGCCCTCAATACAGAAAAATAGCATAAGAAAAAAGCAGTGAAGGGGAATACGTGTAATTTTGTTTACTGAGTGATCCACAAACAAAGGATGCGCACAGTGCAAACAAGTTGATACTTGTTATTCTAGAGCAGTACAATATGATAAGGTGGCAGAAACTGAGCCGAGATATGGGAGTGTGGTTTGGTGGAAAATGGAGACCTGTTTTGAGACGAGACGAGTTAACTGAACAGGAAGCTGTTGTAAAAGACTTCAGAGTGAGAGAGTGGAAATACAGTTGTGTGTGAAGTGCTGAGTAGGGATTTAAGGCAGGAATTACTGTGAGAGTGCAAAGAGTGTCTTCAAAGATTGTGTTTATGCTTTGTTTGCACTGGGGAGATTTGGCTTCCTGGGATCTTTTTTTTTTTTTTTTTTTATCTCTGCTTGGAAATCTTTACACCCCCTACTTTGCCTGAGTGTTCTGTGTGTTTTGAGTGTGTTTTTCTGTCCAAGTAGCAGAGGAAACAGGCCACTTAGCCATTGTCTCCTCGCTCCTCTCCTCTTCTCCTTCACTCCATCTTTCCTTTCA